ATGTTCTAGGAGCATTTTGCGACAGGGAATTAGCGTGAGTAGTTCCTGAGCTCTGGGCGCAGTACCGCACCTAAGATTTCAGATTAAGGCTGCAGAGTGGAAGGAAAGGAGGACCTTTTTCTGCCTCCCCACTTCCAGCTACTCTCTGAAGACTAGAGAAGAGACCCTCTTAAGAATATTAGGGGGGTGGGCAGGGGAAGGGCTAGACCATGTGAAAAATGAACAAAATATCTTAGCTGCAGTTCATTCGTTTTCAGCTTTGTAAAAGTGCGCCTAGACATTCCGTTGCGCCCATAACCTCGGTTTAAGGTGCCATTTAGCTCCTAGCTTTCACATCTCAGCTTCTAACACTGGATTTATGCCAAACAGCTACTTTTAATAAAGCCGCACTCTTCGACGATAAAGGGGGAAAACTTGTGTTCCTGAGTGACTCATTACCGCACAGAAGCTCATTCTTTTGGTATGGTATGCCCTACCACATCTTAAGAGCTTGCTCCACAAGATAAGGTGGATCCTGAACAGGTGAAAAGATGCCGTCTGTCTGAAACACCTAGTGCCCAAAATGCAGCATGCAAGCTTCTGTGTCACACTAGACCCTTCCCTCGCCTGCAAGAAGCCTGGAAAGTCAAGTCCAGTCCCGTGAGGTGCATTTTTAAACTCTAGCTGGTGACGGCAGGGGACTCTTATTTGCTGGAGGTTTTTAAGCAGAGGTCGCCAGGTGGCCATCTGTCAGGGATTATTTAATAATAATAATAAATAATAATTTTATTTATATCCCGCCCTCCCCAGCTGAAGCCGGGCTTAGAGCAGCTAACAACAATAAAAGTAACACAGCATTCTAAAATCAATTCGTTTTAAAATCAATTCAAAATCAAATTAATGGCAACCATTGGGCTAGAGTTCTGTGAGGATTCCTGCAATCCTTCAGCTGCGATTCCTGCATTGCCACAGCGGGTTGGGCTAGATGACCCTCAAGATCCCTTCCACCTCTACAATTCTATGATTCGAGCAGATAAGAGAGCCACCCCTCTCTCTCAGTGGGAGCAACAACATTGCCAGGATTTTGAAGGACGGGACCCTAAGACAAACTCAGCGGCTTTTGGTATTTCTGCCTTTGGGGGGCCCATTCACATGCTGCCCTGGGCCCCACCAATGCTCTGTGGCTGTAACAGGTGGCAAAGTTGCTTCCAGAAAGGCTTCCCCCTTAATTGCTGTGCCCAGCTGTGAACCCAGCCTGTAAAGCGGGCTAAGCACGGGCCAGTTGCTTCTCAGTTTTACACCCCAGCTTCCTCCCCCTCCCTCTGCCGCTTCCATTGCATCAGACTTTTCGACTGTAACCTCTTTGGGGCAGGGGACCACCTGACCTCTTGAACTGTGAAGCCCCGGGCATGCTAAGGGCACACTGATCTTGTCATCGAAGAACCCCACAAATAAGAATCTGCAGATCTCCGAAGCTCTCATAGAAACACAGCCCAGAACGCTTTCTCTGACCTGCATTTGAAAGTAACACATCTCTTGGCCTTCCTTCCACACCCCAGGCACCCTCAAGAGGCCCCTGTCTGCAGGAGGGGGGGGCTCCCTGGCCTCCCACGCTTGGTGATATGGGGAATGGCCACAGCTCAGTGGCAGAGCCCCTGCCTTGCATGCAGAAGTTCCCAGGTTCAAGCCCCAGAATCTCCAGGTAGGGCAGAGAAGCGTTTGAAATTTGCCAGGCGCATTTTGCCCCTGGCTACTGGCCACTTAGGGACCCGGGTGGCGCTGTGGGTTAAAGCCTCAGCGTCTAGGACTTGCCGATCGAAAGGTCGGCGGTTCGAATCCCCGCGGCGGGGTGTGCTCCCGTCGTTCGGTCCCAGCACCTGCCAACCTAGCAGTTCGAAAGCACCTTTGGGTGCAAGTAGATAAATAGGGACCGCTTACCAGCGGGAAGGTAAACGGCGTTCCGTGTGCTGCGCTGGCTCGCCAGATGCAGCTTGTCACACTGGCCACGTGACCCGGAAGTGTCTGCAGACAGCGCTGGCTCTCGGCCTATAGAGTGAGATGAGCGCACAACCCTAGAGTCTGGCAAGACTGGCCCGTACGGGCAGGGGTACCTTTACCTTTACCTTTTACTGGCCACTTGCAAGCAAGTGAAGGTGTTTGGGTACCACAACGGCATCTGACATCACCATCTGGAGGTGCCTGCCTGGGGATCCTTGGATCTGGACTGTTTTCACACACTAGCAATGCAACCTGTGGGATTCTATCCGTTCTATTTTATCTGCACAATCAGAATGAAGTGTAGGAACCCCAAAGTCCTAATGAAAAGCACAACGTTTGAGTTGTTTGGCCCCAAAAGAGCAACTGGCTGTTCTGTTCTGCCGACTGTATCCCTGGTTTAAGGAGCTATTTAACACCTGGCTTATATATTTGAGTTTCTAACACTGAGGCAGAGATTCTCCAGTCTGAAACTGGAGACAGAGCAATATGTCCTAGGAGCACAGGAGCACAGGGAGCTGCCATATACAGAGTCCAGACCATAGGTCCATCTAGCTCAGTTTTGCCGTCACTGACTGGCAGCATCTCTTAAGTGTTCCTGGCAGGCTTCTCTCCCAGCTTTACCTGAAAATGCCATTGGGGATTAAACCTGGGGCCTTCTGCACACAAAACAGATGCTCTGCCACTGAGTTGTTATGGTCCTTCCCCAAACTCTGTGCAATCTGACTCAGAATGAGACCGCTTCCTATGTTCCCAGCACTAAGCAGCGTCAGGAGCAGCAAAGCCACACACAGGAGCATCAGAATGGCCCTGCTGGATCAGGTCAAGGGGGGTCTATGAAGTTCAGCTTTCTGCTTTCACGGTGGCCAAGCTGATGCCCCAACGAGGAGCCCCCTCTAGCAGGACTCTCTCCACCTGCAGCTTCCAGCAAGTGGTATCCAAAAGCAAGACTCCCATGCCCTGCTTCCTTGCCAAAAACTGGTGCTCTAAGCACCAAGGCTTGCTTTGGGCAGGAAGCCAGTGAAGCAGTGGGGTTTTTGCACCAGGGAGCAGTGACAGTGGGGCGGGGCGGGGTGGGGGGTGGGGTGGGGTGGAGAGAAGAGAAGAGAAGAGGGAAAGGCATTAAAAGCCATCCCCCACCAAGGCTGGCAACTGCCCAGTTGTTGGTAGGAGACTGCAAGGCCTCTGCAACTGTAAAAGCTCCATTTGCTGACACAGACTTCTTGTGCAGCTATTCCTGGACAGCCATCTCTGATAGCCGAAGCCCCCCCCCCCCTCCCAAGCTGAGAGGGCCGAAGGGTCTGAGAAGGTGCCCGAGAAGCGGAAGCCCTGAAAGTAGAGAGCTAGAGGCCAAGAGTGGAGGGACCGGCCTGAGGTTCTGGGGAAGGGCGTATGCCTTGCCGCAGAACAGGAAAACCACAAAAGCCTTTTATGGAGCCAAGCGTAAAAATGGGGTGGGGGGAAGAAAGATGGTTTACGCTCCCCCCATCGCAATAATAAAGAGCAGGGAGCGAAAACAAGACAGCAGGCCGAGCCGAACTCAAGTTGCCTCCAGACCTGAACTCACCGGGGGGGGGGGGGGATCATCTGAAAACAAGAGTGCAAATCTGCAAGGTTGCAGGGGGTTGGACTAGATGACCCTTAGGCTCCCCTCCAATTCTATGATTCCAATTATTATATTTATTCTTTTATACTGTGGACGTTTTTATACGAGGCATTTCCCAAAGGGGCTAAGAACAGCAGACAAGGCTCCCCTTACCCATTTTCACAATAGCAACCCTACTTGCCATAATGGCTGCTGGAGGCAGCAGTGCTTCTGAATACCAGGAGGGGAGAATGCTACTGTGCTGGGGTCCCACTTCAGGTTTCCTGCAGGAAACTGGTTGGCCACTGTGAGAACAGAATACTGGACTGGATGGGCCCCCTTGGCCTGATCCAGTAGGCTCTTCTTTATGTTCTTAACTGCTTTGTTTGGGGAGGAAACAAGAACCCCCAGGCAACTTTTCAAAGTGATGGGGCTGGGGGGGAGGCCACCCATCTCTCACGAAGGCTACTGTCCCATGCACACTTCTGTGGCAATAATCCCCCAGTAAGGACAGGGTATCAGAAGGGGCTCCCAGCACAGAGCTGTGTAGCCACACAGGTTGCAGCCCCACACCGTTTGTTGGGTGGCTGAAGCCCATTCCTATACTTGAGATTTACTCTGAAGCAAAAGCGCTCAGACCAGCAACTCAAACCACCACAAAGCTTGGATTCAAGGTTCGCTCGAAGCTGCCCCTTGCACGTCTTCCCTCTCGCATAGTACAATTTGCTCCAAAATTTGCTAACCTGGGAGCCTTCCAGGTGTTCCGGCCTGCAACTCCGGCCAGCCAGCCAGCGCAGAGCTGTAGTCTGAAACATCTGTAGGGCAACAGCTGGGCAGGGCAGGTCCGGGCAAACACAGCTTGCTGAGCTCCCTAAGTTAACTTCCGACCTAAACCCCATTTTCCTCTCATTTTCTGCGCACGCGCCCGCCCGCTCGCCCACCCACCCCTCAGCGCGCACGGATGTTCTTTGGGGCAGGAGCGGCGTCCCAACGGATGAGACCCCCGTTTCCTCTATCCTCTCTGCCCCGCGCCCCCAACAGGAATGGGAGAAAGATATCCGAAATAAGCAAGGAGATTCGTCTCCTCCTTTGACTCTTTGCTTTACCCGAGATGACTTCCTAAAAAAATTGGCAGCAGAGAAAGGAGAGGGGAAAGGGAGGAAAAGAGCGGTGGGGGGGGGACCCAGAGAAATCAAACGGCTTCTGCGCTGCAGTACGCGGAGCCACCGCTGGCGCTGGCAAGGGGACGAGAAAAGTGTATTGCCGGGGGGGGGGCCAGGAGGAAGAGAGAGAGAGAGAGAATGTAAGATTCTCAATCCGTGTCTGGAAAAAGGAGGAAATGATCCCATACGTTTGGGGAGGGGGTGCCCCACCACCCTGCTAACTTCCTCCCTAATAACTGGGGGTGGAGGGGGGCAGAGAAGCGGCGGGCGGCACTCACAGCTGGTTGATGGCGTTCTGGGAGATGACGGCGTCGTCGGAGAAGTAGGGGATCATCTTGGGGGGCCGGCGGCGGCGGCGGCAGAGGGGGCAGGCCGGGGCGGCGGAAGGGGGTCGGCCGCTGCCGCCTGCTCCTCCTGGGCCCCCGCCGCCTTGCTGTCTCCGCCGGAGCCCGCGCAGGGTCATAGGGGGCTGCGGGGTCCCCGCCGGAGAGCGCGGAGCATGGGCGCACCAGGGCGCACGCCGGGGAAGAGAGGAGCGCGGCTGGCTGGCTGGCAGCGCAGGCAGGAGGCTGGCGAGCTGCTTGCGCTCCGGCGCCGGCAGCGGCTTCTGGCGTGTCCGAGGAGCGCCCGCCCTCCTGGCCTCCCCAAGCCGGCACGGCGCGCAGTGCGCAAGGGCGAGCCGGCCCAACTTCGCCTCTGGGCCGGCCCAGGGGCGGGGCGCGCGGGCGTCCCTTCGCCGGCCACGAGGAGAGGAAGGCGCTGCCCCAGCACCAAGGGCCGGCCGGGGCGCGCCTTGCCTCTCCGCGGCTCCTCAAGGCGGCGGCAGCTCAGACACGCGGCCTTGGGGACGATGCCGGGGCGTCCGGTCGCCTCCGTCTCCCGTCAGACAGGGGGCAGAGACGGGTAGCCCGGCTGCGTCGCGCTCTTCCCCGCAGTTGGCAACCGCCTTCCTCTGGGAAGCATGGCTAGGGTGCAGAGGCGCCGTGCCTTGGAGCCATTGATAGCCTTCACCTCCATGCATTTCTCTCTCCCCCCCCCCAACCGCCGCCACTTTTAAAAGCATCCCAAAGTGGCGCACTCCCCGCCCCCCTGCCTCCCTATAAAGGTAAAGGGACCCCTGACCGTTAGGTCCAGTCATGGCCGACTCTGGGGTTGTGGCGCTCATCTCACTTTATTGGCCCAGGGAGCCGGCGTACAGTTTCCGGGTCATGTGGCCAGCATGACTAAACAGCTTCTGGCGAACCAGAGCAGCGCACGGAAACACCATTTACCTTCCCGCCGGAGCCGTACCTATTTATCTACTTGCGCTTTGAGGTGCTTTCGAACTGCTAGGTTGGCAGGAGCTGGGACCAAGCAATGGGAGTTCACCCTGTTGCGGGGATTCGAACCGCCAATCTTCTGATCGGCGAGTCCTAGGCCCTGTGGTTTAACCCACAGCGCCACCCGCGTCCCGCCTCCCTATAGAGGAGACCAATATATGTTGACATCTGGAAACCAAGCCTGATGAGGAACAGGTGGAGTTGCTGGGTATGCTTAGCCTGGCCATCTTCAAATATCTCAAAGGCTGTCAGATGGAAGAGCGAACAAGCGTGTTTTCTCCAGTGCGAGGGTAGGACTCGAACCCATGGCTTCCAAGTTATAAGAAAGGAGAGGCCAACTAAACATAAGGAAAAACATTCTGACAGTAAGGGCTGTTCAAAGTGGAACGGTCTCCCTTGAAAAGTGGTGGACTCTCCTTTGTTGGAGATTTTTAAGCAAAGGTTGGATAGGATGCTTAAGTTGTGACTTTCTGTATGGAAGGTGGATGCTCTGCCATCAAGCTGGGGTCCTTCGCCAAAGAAGGTTTCAGGCAGCGAATTCCAGATGGCTATGTACTGTGTGCCTAGGCACCTTCCCATAACAAAAGGCTTCAGCTCTGACAGAACACCTGCTTTGCATGCAGAAAGTCTGAGGTTTCAATCCCTGGCAGCATCTCCTGGTGCAGCTGGTAGAGACCCCCCTGCCTAACACCTTGGAGAGCTGCCACTGCTGCCAGTCAGTGTAGGCAATGCTGAGCTAGGCAGACGAACGGTCTAACTCAGTATGGCAGCTTCCTTATGCTGTCTGTCCTGAATCTCCCACTGTCTACCTTCTGATTGTAGTTCTTCCCTTCAGGTCCTCCAGCCTCTTGTTCTCACATCAGTCAACCAAGGACCATGGACCTGGGTGCAAGAGCCAGTCTCCCATCCTGTGGTTTCCATCAACTGGCATTCAGAAGCATTGCTGCTTCCCACCATGAAGGCAGAGCACAGCCACTCTCCTCTCCTCCATGAATTTCTTTTAGGAGAAAAGCAGGAAAGCTAGGGACCTCCAGATGTCATGGAGAGAACACAGAAAATAGAGTTGGAAGGCACCACGAGGATCATCTAGTCCAGTGTTTCCCAACTTTGGGTCTCCAGCTTCTTTTGGACTACAACTCCCATCTTCCCTAGCTGGCAAGACCAGTGGTCAGGGATGATGGGAATTGTAGTATGAAACCAGCTGGAGACCAAAGGTTGGGAAACATTGATCTAGTCCAACCCCCTGCAATGCAGGAATCTTTTGCCCAAACTGGGGCTTGAACCCACGACCCAGAGATTATGAGTTTCACGCTCGCTGTTGCACTTCAGCTCCCAGCTGGGCCCAGGACAGACGTCGAGCAACATCTGAGTTCCATGCCCTGCTCTAAGAAATGGCATTTTGTGGTGCCTGGGAGAGATGGAGAGATGTCTCTGCTTGAGAAGAGGCGTCCCCTCTTGAGAGAGGGAGGAATGTCTCTTAGAGCAGGGGTGGGGAGGTGGTACCTCAGCATGGTCAACAATTATGGGACCTGGATACCTGGAGGGTGGCAGGCTCCAATTCTAATGCCCATCAGCATCCTTGACCCACTGGGATGTTTTGCTTCTCAATATTCTCTGGTTGGCCTCTGTTATTTTCTTCTACCAATAGAGAACCTACAAAAGGACTATATGGGCTCTTAAAGGTAAAGGAACCCCTGACTGTTAAGTCCATTCGTGGCCGACTCTGGGGTTGCGGCGCTCATCTCGCTTTACTGGCCGAGGGAGCTGGCGTACAGCTTCCGGGTCATGTGGCCAGCAGGACTAAGCCACTCCTGGTGAACCAGAGCAGCGCACAGAAACGCCGTTTACTTTCCCGCCGGAGCGGTACCTATTTATCTACTTGCACTTTCTCGAACTGCTAGGTTGGCAGGAGCAGGGACCGAGCAACAGGAGCTCACCCCATTGCGGGGATTCGAACCGCCAACCTTCTGATCAGCAAGTCCTAGGCTCTGTGGTTTAACTCACAGTGCCACCCGTATGCAATATGGGCTCTTAGGTACCCCATAAGGGAAAAGGAACAGGTTTTTTTCTTATAACATAGGAGTTGGTGCCTGACCACACCTGGGCAGCCCTCCAGGTTCCCCAACCCTGCCTTCAGGTGTGCCTATAAAAAGCAGCTGCCCTCCCCGCCCCTGTTTCAAACACTGAACTCAGAGGGCAGTTCTGTGTGTCACAAAGCTGGGGAAAGTAAAGAGGCCTTTTGTCTGCTTTTTAATTAATTTATTTATTTAAAAAACAGGTTTTATTATGACCCACGGCAAAAAGGAAGGGCTGTGTGGAGGAGCTCACAGATGCTGCACTAAAGCCCCTGTCAAAGCATTCAGAAGCCATTAGCGGCTTGCGCATGATGGGCTCGTGCGGAGGGTGCCACAAAAACCAGGGAGGGGATTGCAAAGAAGTGAGAAAGAGAGAGAGAGAGAGAGAGAGAGAGAGAGAGAGAAGAAAGAAAGAAAGAAAGAAAGAAAGAAAGAAAGAAAGAACACTTACACCATATCTTTAAAGCACAATGGTGCCACTTTAAGCAGACATAGCTTCCCCCAAAGAATCCTGGGAAGTGTAGTCTGTGAAGGCTGCTGAGTGTTGCTAGGAGACCCCTTATTTCCTCACAGAGAGCTACAGTTCACAGAGTGGTTTAACAATCAATCCCTTTCCACAGGGAGCTCCAGGAATTGTAGCTGTGTAGCTCCTGCCATCTCTCTGCACCCTGAATAGACTACAGCTCCCAGGATTCTTTAGGGGAAGCTATGACTGTTTAAAATGGCACCAGAGTGCTTTAATGCATGGTGCAAACCAGGCCAGGGAGACTTTTGCCTGCTTGGTAGGGGCTGCAGTAATGATGAAATGAACAGGATGATGCTTCCTAGCTTTATTTCAGGTATGGGGAAGCTCTTGCAGGACCCCCAGCACCCGTCATAGCCAGCAGGGCCAATGATCAGGGATGGGAGGAGGTGGAGACTACCAACATCTGGAAGGCAGAGGCTCCCTTGCACCCTTGACAAGGAGATGTATTGGCACCTCCAAAGGCAGGAGAGACCATGGACCAGAAACTTTAAAAGTTTCCTTTTCATTGCCTTTTGCCCTCCACCATGCTTCAGTTTGTATTAAATGCTTAGCATTTCTGCAGAGCGGGGGGTGGGGAACCTGAATGGCCCTCCCAGGTGTTGCTGGAGTCTGGAGTGAAGTCCAGTCCAACAACGTCCGGAGGTTCCCCACACAGTTCTCCATTGCAGATTCAAACCAAACTCTGCTCTCTGCTCAGCTAGGAATTTCCTTCCTGCGTATTCCACCCAGTGAACAGTCCTGACCAATGGCATCTCCAGAGATCTGCCCTGCAGTTTAAGAGGGAGTGACATTTCCCAGTGACCCAGCTTCAGCCTTTCCAGCCAAGCCCCAAAATTTATTCTCCTTCGTAGGGGCTCAGAGTGCCTCTGGGCAAAGCCAGCGTCCTTCCCTTGCCACTCAGACTGGGGCGCAGCAGAGGCAGCCCAGGACGTTTTGCTTTTTAGGAAGTCCAAACGTTGGATTTTCCAGCATGCAAACTCACTCTTTTGGTACCCGCCCTCCCCGTTGTAAAAGAGAGAGCAAGCATATGGTGGGAGGCTGAGAGAGCCCCTTCCCCTCTTTCTTTCTCTCTGTGCAAGAAGATGGCAAAAGGTCACCAGAAACAGGATGGGGAGGCTGGACCCACAGGCAAATTCTTGCTTTAGCAATAACTTGCAGCTATGCAAATCTTTTTGACGGGAAAGAGGCAGAATTCACCCCGAGCTGTGAGTTGCTCTTGTGAATTTTAAAAGGAACAAAACACAAACACACACACATTCCACTTTAATCCAGAGGTTCCCAAAGTCTACCACTCTTATCGCTTTCAATGCTACTTCCTTTGGTAATGTTTGCTTGCATTTACCATTCTGGGTTGTCACAAGTCACAAGATAGCCAATGATTGGCAATAGTGATCTTGTGCGTGCTTGGCAAGTGTTTCGTGCTATAAACTTCCTTCACCCTTACGTTTTCGTTCGTAAGAATGCGTAAGAATGTTTTTCATGCAACATCTGGCATCACTGGATCAAGTTCAGGAGTTCTGATGAATTAACTAAACTAAATAGTTTTAATTGGATTTTGAGTAACTGTGCAATCAATCTTTACTGTTTTGAATTTTATTGTGTTGTTATCTCCCTTAGTGGGTCGTGCAAACCACTGTTGTGTATAATGCTTTTTATA